ACTCTACTTCGGAACAATAGGTTTATATTTTTGGTTAAAAGGAACAAGATGTCACTAAACAAAGCAATCTGACTTTGAAATGATGATCGCAACCAAGAACAGAATCGTCGTGGAAGTGTCACCACCACTAGCTGATCAGTGACATTGACATCGTTTTTTCATCCATGTTTATTCGTATATAATGAGAACTGTTGAACTGTAGGACAATGATACAACTACAAGCGGTCATATTCGAAGGAGCAGAAAAATGAAGTAGTGTGTATTTATATGTTGTTGATCATAACATATGTATATGATGACAACCCATCCCAGCAAGGTCGCGAACCTGACGAGATCAAGATCATTAGCCACTTCATAAGCACTATCAAAACTGTCGTATCTAGTGCCAGATATGAAGAATGAAGTACAATCAAAACCATCTCCTTTACCTTGCACATTGGCTTGAATAAACGAAAAAGTTGTATGATTGATGTTAATGAATGGGCATATACCTCTACAACACGTGAACTATCAGAAAATGCAACTTGTGTCCCAACCTATTCAATATTCCATTTCTGTCATGAACTATTATTCCGTTAGTGTTGATCGGCATTGACCGTTAGTAATTAACAGAAAATCCAGTCAACATCTGACTTGTTATTTTTAAATACTTAAATAAAAAATAAAATAAAAACTAAAAAATCCTATCTAATATACCTGAATCCCCCTCCCCATCCTGCTCCACCTCTTCCTCTTACCTGCCACAATCTTCTCCCCAGCAACCTACACATTTCTCATCCTCCTCTCCTTCTACATCGCCAACGAAAATCTCCCCAACTCCCGTCCACATTTCGAGCTCCACTGAGTGAGAGAGAGAAAGCGAGTGAGATAAAGGGGAAATCGGAAAGAGCGGTGGAGAGGAGATGGCAATAGCGGCAGCGAACAGAGAGGCAGGTTGTTGGCAACTCGAACCCGACATTTCGGCTTCCCCTCTGATGAGCCAGTAGCCCATACTTTAAAGAAGGGCAACACAATAATTTTTTTTCCAAATTCGATATGTACATATCATTGTAGATACAAGACATCGCATAGGTTGATTGCAAATCATAGTGGAGGAAGGGAGAGCAGAAGAAGGGGAAAGCGCCTCCCTCTCCGATCTTCTTCTTCGCCCTATGAAAACGAGCAGTGGAGGCAAACTGTCGTAAAAAAACTTGGCTTGGGGATTCGATCTGGTGCGACGGGAAATCTATGCTCGGAATCCTCTCGATCTACTTTGAAGCCCACTTAGAGAGAGAGAATTAACAAGTCAGAATCCAGGGACAAATTGGTTAGGGACGAGTTGGGTTATCTTTTATTTGTTTTGCTCACAGGTTGTTCAGTTGGGGTTTACACAGACGAGCTGCCACCGGCGCATCTGTGCCGGATTCGCGGGAGTGAGTCTCGACTGGTGGGGAATTTTCCAGCTTGGGAAATTTTTCAGAGAGAGAGAGCGAAATGGTAGAGAAGAAGAAAAGTTTTTTGATTATTTTATTTTAAAATTTTGGCTTAATAATATAATAGAATTTATATATTTATTTAATTTAATTTAATTCAATTTTATAGAAGCGACGTCAGGAGAGGAGCAGCGATCCCCTCCTGTCCCCTATTAGTCTATCCTGTTTTATTCTCTCTTTAGGAAAAAAATTCGGAAAACGGGCTCAGGATTGCGCCTTTGTCAATTCCAGGGTTTCTCTGAATTTGAAAGGTATCACTTAGTAAGTTTCCATACTAAGGCTCAATCCAATTAAATGGGAAGATCGAAAAGTTGGAAGAAGAAAGGATTTTTTGGTTAGACGCATAGAATTAGCTAAGCATTTTATTCGAACAAATATAGAACCAGAATGGATGGTTTTTAAAATATGAGGTCTCAATGACGTGGCAGCCACATTTTTGCCACGTCAACTTTGCTTTGACCACCATTTGGTTAACCGTTATCTCTAACAGTCAACGAAATCGCCAGGATACAAATGACACAAAGTACCATAGTTCAGGACATGAATGAAATATTTGATACAATAGGATACAAGTGGCATTTTTTTATACTTCAGGTGTTGTAGTGGTAGTTGTCTTTAATGAAAGTATATTACAATAATTTTTTTATATATAAGAGTGATATAGGTAACTTTTTTGTTATTAAGGTACTATTTAAGGGATTCAAAATTGGAACCTCCAGGTTCAAGGCTAGTGGTATTACTCCTAGACTAAATACTTGTTCGTTATATTACAATAATTGACTACATATTTGCTAACATGAAAAATATAATTTACACATATTAGTATTCATTTAGACATAGTAAAACTTAGTGAAAATTTAAATGCAACTCTCCTAAAAATACTGTATTTATATTATAAGAATATGATATTTGTGGTACGTGAATGTGTTATTTGTGTTGGAAGAATATAATGTTTAAATAATGTAACTCGATCCGAACCATGTAAAATATGATGGTTCGTCGTGGATAGAACCGTGACCTTTTACGACTTAGAATGCATTTTAATCACTCTCATACAAATACTTTATTTGTGCTATAAGAATATGATATTTGTGTTAGAAGAATACGATATTTTAATAATGTAATGGTCAACCCCGATTCGAACCATGTAAAATAGGTTGATTCGTACACGACAAACCCATGTAAAATAGGATTGTCCGTACCAGATTTGACCATGTAAGATAGGATGGTACATACCAGGTTCGACCATGTTGAAACAACTTATGTTAGACCATGTGTTTTTACATGATTAGGCTTTACTCCTTATAATAAATAAAAAACCATGAAAAAAATGAACCATGCTACTCATTGCTTGATTGTGAGTTACGCGAGATGCGTAGTGGCTGGCTGCTGAGCCGACAATCCGCGAAAGGAAAATTTGATATTTTATTTTATGATAATTCGTGTGAAACCTAGTACTAGCTTGAGAAGGGGAAGATAGAGGAGCTCCACTTGATTGGCTAGTTCAACATCGTTCCCTAATAGATAGGAATACAACGGATCTTGGGACACAACGGATCTTCTTTTTTTTACAGTAAAATTATCTTTTATTCCAACACCAATATGGAGAAACAAGGCTACATCATCAAAGGAAATCAGAAATTAGGTCAAGAATACTAATCCAGTCATCTGGGAGCGAGACCGCCATCTGGAAACAAGGCTACAACACCAATAATTTTACGTGAAACCGCCATGACCTTGACTTGAGGGTTTGCTCTCAGGATTGAGATCATTGATCCAATTCCAATTGTTCCCCGCCATGGCCAACTTCTCGGATCTTGATTCAGAGCATTGATTAACACTTGGCAGTCGGATTGGACAATACATTCAGTACCATATTCTTGAGCTAATTTATGACCTTCCAGAAGAGCTTTTGTTTCAGCCTCGATCGGAGTGGAACAAAGAAGGGTATCAACTCGCCCATCACACACTTGTCCATGGTGGTTAAGGACAACAACACCATAAGCCGCCAGCTGGGAGTCGCTTATGAACGACCCATCACAATGAATTACCAAATGGTGATTGCTTGGCGGTGGAGAAGAGACATGTCCCTCAATGACTTAATAGTGAAATTACCCTTTGATTCATCTTCAATCCAATTTCCCAACTCATCTTTTAAGCGGAGGATCCTGTTTCTATGCTTTCTTTGAATAGTGCTAGCATGGAAAAAAGATGTGTTTTGTTCCCCTTTTTGCAACCAGTTGACTCTCGAGCATTGATTCCAAAAGGCTTCTTCATCAAGCCAAATTTTAGTCAATTCAGCTATAAGGTTCTTCTCTTCTTCCACATTCTCCTGTATTCGAGGAGGCTGTTGGAGGATCTCCAACCTGTTCGTGATCTCACTCTCCATAAGAATACTATTCTTATGAAAGTCTTTTGACCATATTTTCAGCTCTCTCTCACACTTTGCCAGCCGGTTGCTAGATGGGCCTCCTGGGTCCCATTCTCTACAGACAATCTCCTTGCATTCCTCTTTCTCCAGCCATCTCTCGTCCACCCTGAACGGGGTTCTCCTTCTTCTATTCCCTTGATAATGGAGGTCAATTCTAATTGGACAATGATCAGACTCCACCATCTTTTCATGAAACACAATAGCTTCTCCAAATTGTGCCCTCCAGGACGTCGAGCACAAAACCCTATCCAGTCTCACTCAGACCAAGTTTTGTCCGGTACGTTTTTTGGACCATGTGAAAGGGTTCCCTTTAAAGCTGAGGTCGATGAGAGCATTGTCAAAGATGAACCTTTTGAAAGGTTATACATTTTCGTACCTAAGAGGGCATCTTCCCTCTATTTCATAATCGTAAATCGCAGCATTAAAATCACCTACAACAACCCATTCGTCTTCTCTACTACTCCGAATGGAGCTCAAGTGCTCCCGAAATTCCCTTCTACTAACCACTGTAGTCGGGGCATGAAAAAAAGTTCAGAAAAATTTCTTCCCCATGTCAATGCTTACGTCCATGTAATACTTATCACTACTTAGTACAATAATACTAATACCCGCCTTCCACCATAAAGCGAAGCCCCTAGATGAGTTGACAGGCTCGACATACTCTCTATTGGGGAAAATTTTGAACCTTCTTCTATGTTCTTCCATGAAATCTTCATTGTTGCATGTTTCCATCAAAAAAACGATAAGAGGGCCATGACGTCGAATAAGACGCTTAGCATAACTTGTCGTAAGGGGTTGGCCAAACCCCCTTACGTTCCAACTTACGATACTCATGGGAGATGAGGTGGCTTATGGCAAACCACCGCTCCCGTTGTTCCTTTATGTTCTCCATCCTCTTGGTCATCATTGCTAGTTTGGGACTTGTTCTTGTGTTGTTTCTTTTACCTGTTCCTTCCATTCTTTCCACCTGTAGAGATAGAACTTATTGGGCTAAAACAAAAGCTGGCCCCTTCATTAAAATCTGATACATTCCCTTCTAGCATGTGGGCCGACGTCCCCTTCCTTTTCTTCATGGATCTGCCCGCTTGTCCTTCTAACTACCCCTGTAAATGATGATAAGCAATATTGGATTGCCTATTGGGCTCCATAGACCTGGTCTCAACATAGCTAGGTTGTTGGGCTTGATGGGTCGGGTTGCTCAGCCCAAGGGAGAGCTGGGCTCCCATTATCGCATTCACCATTGCCCTTCTCTGCGCATCCCCTTCTTCCTCCAGTCGCAGACCCCCTTGTAGAGCCACCGTCGCCGCCACCGTTGTCTCCATCTCAAGAGACAAATCTCTCGCTCCCATCTCATTTTTGTACCTCCCCTTCAATCTCCCTGTGTTACCTATTTCTTCATCCCTAGCCTCCTCTTCCAATCATCGCACCGTGAAGCCCGGCGAGACAATGGGGTTTCCTCCTTCTTCTTTTTCCCTTGTCTTAATTCTGAGTTACGCGAGATGTGTAGTGGCTGATAGACGGTGTGAAACTTTCTTCTCAAATAGTTTCTTTTTATTTTCATCGTTAGAAATTGATTTAGCTCGTAATAAAAGTTTTTTTTATTATTTTATTAATTTATGATTAATTTTTGGTCCTTCGTGTGATCAATTTTATGGGGAATGAAAAAGAGAGTAAGAAAAGAATGGCTTGATTTTTTGGAAAGGTAGAAAGAAGTAAAGAAAAGTGCGTGGACAAGGGGGATGGAAGGGAAAGGGAAAGTTTAATGGTATTTATATTATGTAAATATTGATATATGGATGACCATTGCCATTACCACATTAGATGCTCACTTGGGAGTTACATGTAACCCCCATTCTTACATATGATAGCTCCTTTATGTTTCATTATCTCTCATTGATATAAGGATGTAGTAGTTACCAAGGTGTGCCTATAAATAAAGCACACCATTGTATCAAAAGAGAAGGATGAATAAGAAAGCTCACTTCCCCCTATCTTTCTTGTTTATGTGTACTAATAGTTTCATAACAATAAGATAGCTCACTTCCCCCTATCTTTCTTATATCAATAAGAAAGCTCACTTCCCCCTATCTTTCTTGTGTCTTTTCCTCTCTAATCTTCTCTTGTAGTTGTTTATATTACATTAGTTTCATAACACGTTATCAGCATGAAACTCTGTCAAAATTATCATTGCTCAAGCCACTCTCGACATAATCTAAGATATTGGAATAAGATCATAATATGATCAAGGTATGTAAATCTTAGATCCTTTCTTATCGTATTGTCTTATTTGTGTTGAGATTATCTCATTCCAATATATCAAGATGGGTGCTACTTCTCATATCCATTGATATTTTATCGCGTCGATCTATTTGGATTAACAAGGAAAGTAATATAAGTGATGAGTTAATTTCGCAGTTCTCCGTGTTATCCTATTCTTATCAATCATACATTGATATGTAGAAAATGCAAGTTCCAAGAGCCCATATATTCCCCAGAAGTGGAAATTGAAGAATCCAAGGGCAAAGAAAGAAGTGGACATGGTAACAAGAAGATTGGTTTTGTATGTTACCAATGTAATGGAAAATTGCATTTGTCTCGTACCCGTTGTACGCAAAAGACCTTATTCTACCAAGAATCAAAGGGAAAAGCTAATTCATATACGCTCCTGCAATATCAATATTATGGAACATATTATTTGTATTATAAGTTGGTATATTCTCCATTAAAGATGAAAATGATATTGCACTTGAGACATTTTCATTCCCAGAAGTGAATGAAACAATCTATTCCCCGAAGTGAATGAAACTATAAACATAATTATATATATGGTAAATGTATTGTTTGGATCTTTTCACCAGAAGTGAGAAAAGAGGAGAAAAAGGAGAATTATAAATAAATATGACACAACAATTATATTATCAAAGTCATGATAACATAATGTACCTATTGTACATTGAAATGTATAATGAAAGACATATATAAATTTAAAATCACCTAGTTAGTGATGGTATTGTTCCAAATAAAGCTTATTTAAATTTTCACAATTGTAGTATTATGATTCTGGTTTTCTACTATGTTTCATTGTGCCATTATTTTCATGCATAATTAACTTGATAACTTTTATCTAGAACGATTATTACCTTGATAAGTACGTCATTTTTATCTTAAGTTTGAATATTCTCATTTATTATTTTAGTGTGTTTTTGTAAAGTATGATTGTTAGAAAAATTCCATATAAACTATATGGTAGAGTACATAAATGAAAAAAAGCTTCCGAAGAGCTTATGTTTGGTTACTTGAAGTAACTAAATTATGTACTCGTGATAATAATTTGTGATGATATTCACTATGAATATGTGTTTACTAAGAATGCATCAAATCATAAGTCCCCAGAAGGGTGGAATATGGTATAAAATATGGTAAAGCTTTAAAGGAGCTAATTTTGTGGCCTGAAGGAACCAAACTAGTGATGATGCATTACCCAATTAAAGGGATATTCGTAAAATGAATATCTTATCAAGAAAATAGTGAAACTAATATTTGCATCACAAATATGTACTACATGTATATTAGTACAATCCATACACATAAAAGTGTAAACCAGAAGTTTACAAGATTTGATAACTTGATAATTGGTTGGTCCGGTTAGACCATCCCGGATCTTGATGTGAAAAAAGGTTCTTTGAGAATTCATGAGAACATCATATGAGAAGTCAAAGAACTCTTCAACTAAAAGAGTTATTATGCCATATTTGTTCTCAAGGAGAATAGAACAATTGATCAGAACTTGTATAAGAGTTGGCAAATCTCTTGAGATTTTATATGATCACTTTTATTTTATCTAATCGCAACCCGATGTTTGCGAGATTGATTGCCTCACTATGGATACATTTTTATGATTATCCAATCAAACATCACTTTGCTTAATAGAACAAGTTGAGCCTTCTAGTCTCTTGTCGAGGACATGCTAGCTGGCAAGTAATAATATTGGTTCACATCTAACCAACAAGTTATCATAAGTTTCCCCCCTATTTACAAATGGTTTTGGTCAGAAACCTAACATTTCCCATATGAGAATATAAGGGTGTGCCGCATACATCCCAATTGCTCCACCATAGTATCTTAAATTGATTCTCGTTGGAAATTGAGAATTTGTGTTGGGTATGAATCCCAAATGGAAAATTTGTTTGCGAAATTATTGTTTTGATGAATCACTTTTCCAACATTAAGGGGGAGAGAAAAAAAAAACAGCTAGGAAAAGAAATGAGTTGGAATGAGTTACCATTGTCTAGTTTTGATCCTCAAAGTAAGAAACATGAACCTGAAGTTCATAAGATGAATTATCGTTACCAACTATCAATTGCCTCTACTAGCCATACGAAGTGACCAAGTCGCATATACTAGCTGTGAATGCTCCAACTAAATTTGATATCCTTGTTGGATACTCTAATATAAAAAATGTGTATGAAAGAGCGCATGAAGCGTGATAGACCAATCGGTTCCAATGATAAACATCCTCGAGAAAGAAAAGGAGCTGTAATTAGAATGGTCAACTCGAGGACATGAAAACTCAAGAAGAGTAACCAAGGATTAAGTATAATTTTAGTTCCAGAAGAACACATGTCTCTAAAAGTTGTGAAAGGGAAGAGATCTCAAAAATATATTAGACTACAATACTGGAACCGAAATGAAGTCATTGTCGAAGAAATTTGTTTCTTGTACTTCAGTACTGAATATGATATATAAAGTGAGGATCAAGAGTAAAACTCTGTTGATGCATGCAAATGATGACGTTATTGGCCAATATAGAAAGAAATCACGAAAGTGCTCAAAGAGCATAAAGTTTAAGGACCAGAAGTCCTTACACCTGAAAAGGGCAAAAATAGAGGGATACAAACAAATTTTTGTGCTACTGGAAAGTATGAAATTGTGCGAGATATCGCACAATGTTTTGCAATGGGTTTCTCGAAGAGACCTATCATTGTTTAAGAGGAGTTATACTCCCCTGTGGTGGGTACAACTACTTTTTCAAATCAATGTTTGAAAATTGTTATGATAGCCTATTTGTTTGAATTCCTCGAAGATTTTAAATATATTTGAAACTCCCAGAAGGATTATTTAGTCCTAGAAGGATTAATTTACCTGAAGTAAGCAAGTAAAGTTCTCGAGAACATATAATGATAGACTAAGAATATCCCCTGTATGGGTTGAGAAAATATAGACGAATGTGAAATATTCGTCTAAGTGAACACCTACAATAGTGGGGTGAATGGACCTTAGAAGGTTAAATCCGGATAGAGTGCATTAGAGCATTTGCATTGTGCATATATAGTTGTGTTGTTTGTATGTGCTTCAAGGATTTTAAAATCTTGGTTTATGAGTTGTGTTTTACTTTAAAGTATGAGTTGTGTTTTACGACTGGGCTTTGTCTAGTTCATATGTTTCTATGATGTGAGTTTTGTTATTATCTTTCGTGATATAAAAGAATTGCTTGCATCAATTTGTGTTAGTTAAGTTGTTTTTTTTTTACGATCTCATATTATGTTGATGATATGACTATTATTGGAGCTCCTGAAGAGCTTCCTAAAGCAATTGATTGCTTAGAGACATAAGTTAAATTGAAGGATTTAAGATCCTTTTTATGGGCAAGGAAGGTAATGTTGAAAAAGTGGGAAAGTAATTTTGCATGAACGAATTGTGTTCATCAAATAACATTAGGATCCTAAGATCACTAGAAGTGACCAAAGATCCATTTAGGCATCAAGAAAGAAGTGAGACATTAGGTCCTGAAGTACTTTATGTTGATGTACTAGGTCCTGAAGTACCATATGTTGATGCATCAAAGCACCAATGCACATTGCTACCCAAACACCATATAAACTATCATTTTGGTGTTCATAATATTAGCAAAATACAATGTTTCCCTCAATGAAACGTTGGAAATACTTTGTTACCTTCAGGAACAATATATGCGATTGTTCTATTACGGTACTATCAAAGAGAGATTTGGTGAACTATATATCCAAATCATATATATTATTTGATCCTTATATTGGTTGATCATAGACGAGATATCTCTTACATATGGTGATGTGATTGTTTCATAGATATTCAAAACAAACTATAGTAGGCAAGTCCTGAATGTATTTCGTTACACTTTGTGATTCACCATATCTAAAGGACTTGTGGTTGTAAACTATTTCTAAAGGAAATGATCCTGATGATCATGGTCCATGGATAAAGAAAATCTAAAAATCATGCATAAGATTGACAATCTAGAAGATTGTTCACTAACTAACTCCCGGCAACAATCTTTCTAAAA